TTTTGATGTCAGATGCCTCCGGTATGCTCTTAGCTCTCCTCTTCCCCTGGAGCCAGCAGAGTAAATCATACTGGGATCATGGTTAAAGATAGAAAAGGAACTTGTGTGACTTTTTTTTCTAACCAGCCCTTGTATAGTAGCAAAGAAAGATGATCAAGTAGAGAATTAGTTTAGAGGATGGAAGGCAAAATAACAGTTGTAGCTCATCCTAAATTTGTATCTTTGGCTCTCTGCATCTTGAACCCCCTGCGATGTGGTGGGGACAGGGCCCTGACCATATCAGCAGGCAGTACGGACAGGGGATCAGCTGGCAGTAGTAAAACACCAGTTTACAACACACATGGTGGCATTTCTGGTGTTCAGAAACAGGGAAGGGAAGAAATCCTTCGAAACCCATCTCAGAAGAGCAGTGGTGGTCATCTCCCGGCGTGCAGGCTGGGAGACTCACCTCCAAGCAAGCCACCTCTGGAAATATAAAACTTGTCTGAACTGGTTGCAATTGTGAAAAGAATCCAAGTCCCCTGGAAGCCCTAACAAGGAAATCAAGCTGAGAGATGTCCATTAATGAGACCTACCAATGGGAGCAGTCTGAGATGATATAAACTGCTAATGATGAGCTTATGTCGGAAAGGAAACTGCTGGGAGCACTTAGCAAAGCGGAGACAAGAATGGGGATAAGTGAGAGAGCATACAGATGGCTTTTCTGTGATTCTTTGTGTTTAACAGCTCCGGTTGTAATACCTGGAAGAATAGCGAACATGCAAGAGGTGGCAGTACTGCCAGAAACCTAAAAAGCCAGTATTTAGTAGATAAAGCTGGTAGATCCCAGGCACAATGTAAGAAGATTACAAGTTTTGTCGGCAGCAGGAGAGGGGTGAGTGGGAAGGAGAGAAAATACAGAGCTGTCATTTGCAAGACCTATACAACCAGCTCCAAGGAAAGACTGTTAGCAGTCTCTGGAGGGAAGATAGAATATAAGATAAAATAATAATTCCTAGTAAAGGAGGGGAAGGATCTTTACTACAGGAGAGCCTCGCTGTCCTTGGCATTGGCTTGCCAGATGATTCAAGTTGCCTGAATGTGTCTCCTCCCTTCGTTGGTGGAGGAGCAGGCAGTGTCTTCTGTAGGGTGCCTCCAGCAACTATGTCTGGTGGCTGCAGTGAAGCTGTGTTTGAAATAGCATTAGGTCCCGAGGTTGCACAGCAAAACATCAGCTCAGACATCTCAAGCATGGATGATTTTGGAACTAACAGTTTGACCAGACTTACTATTCAGTCACAGTTTCAGGTCAAACAGTATTTCCTTTGGCCTGGATTGATTTTCTCTCTGTTTTTCCACTATAGCAAGATTAAATATATAAATTATACATATATATTTATATGCATAACTATATTACAGTTTTAGTGCATTTTCCTATCGATCTTTTAGTTCAGCTGAAGAAGCACAAGTTATTAATCTCACACCCCTGGGGCAGAATGTTATTGCTTTGACTCATCGCTTCGTGTGTCACGTGCTGCTGAGCAGCTCTACAGTGCCGCTCTCTGAAGTGACTGCTTGTGCATCACTGCAACCCTCCGATGTCTTGGATGTCAGGGGAAGATGTTCAAAGGTGCGAGACCTGCGGAGTCTGTCACATTGACACTGTGGAGAGATGCCGAGGGATCCGCTTCCAGCAGAGCTGGAGTGTAGTTTTCTCCGGAGGGAAGTAGAAGTAACGAGGTTTTAGAGCAGTTTTGACAAGGGCCGAGAGCACCTTCTGACCTTCCGACTGTGGCATGTGTTAACAACATAGGAAATGGAACTTACTTTTTAAACAGGAGACATAATTGTCCTATTGCTGGTTTTCTTTGCTGTGTACGCAGGGGAATGGCATTATCCTGCCACACAGCATGGGGCTCTGCAGGGTGGATGGTCCCTGACCCTGGACACAGCCATAGTGTGGTGGAGAAAAAAGTCTCGTAAATGAGTTTATGGCAGGATTTGGGAATTGCTGCCAGAGGATGTCACCAGCTCTGTCCTTCTGTGGTTTCCTTTATTTCACTCTTCATGCCCATCACATTTGGCTGGAGGCTGCAGCATGGCCGTGACCCTCAGAAAGTCTCAAACTGGGCACACTTACCCTGGGCTGTCTTGTAGCCCAGATGAGCGTGTACTTTTTTGAGAAAAGCAGTTTTGTGGTGGCTTTGTTTTCAGAGCATGGAAAAATCAAGGAAGGTTATAGTGCAGTGAGAGGAGATCACTATCTCCTGGCTCACCCCATGCAACACAGCCGAGAACCTGGGTGCGTCACCAATGGGTGACCTGGTCAGGGCCCACACGCCCAGGAATAAAGGTCCAATGTTTGGATTCAAACATCTGCTCCTTGTACATACTGCTTATATTTTGCCCTTGCATTAATACACGATTCATACTGGAAATGCTGTTTAGACATTAAGTTGTGCTGGGTTTTGGCTGAGGCTCCAGTGTTCAAGGAACTATCATACCCAGTTAATCATCCAAGCTGGTATGTTCTATCAGACTGGTGTCAGGGATAGCTGTGAGCCAGAGAAGTTGTCAGTATAAGCTTAATAAAGTGAGAAGGGCTGTTAGAAGAGATGAGGAAGGTTCAGAATTGTTTAAGTCCTTGTCCAATTCTGCCTTTTGTGGTCACAAAGAGGGTTAAGGTAGAGGCAAGTCAGAAGGCGGGCAAGGAAGGAAGGCTGGGAAAGCACTGCCCCAGGCACCAGTTAGGAAAGTATCTGAAAAAAAAAAAAAAAAAAAGACACAACTGAAGGAAACGAAAGGTCTGGAGAGGGTAAAGAAAGAGCTGCTTTGACATATACCACTGGCAAAAGTTGACAGGAGGAAGAAGTGAGAAATAAAAAGGGTTAAAGGGAGATCTGGTGGCTGCGATGCAGAGGTGGGTGCCGGGTGGTCCCCACCGTGGGGAGGATGGTGGAAGTGGGTCAGCCCACCCAGGTGTCACCATGTGGCTTGCCTCTAGCCATGCTCTTGCTCACGAGTGGAAACCACAAAGCAGAAACAGAGGTGGAAGAAAATTAGATTTCCCTGTCTTCATTAGCCTTAGATACATCTCTGGGATTAAGATTGGACTGAAGAGAGAGGAAAACTCCAGCTCACAAAAAAACTGTTATTGCAGCTCTAAAACGGTATTTGCAACAGGATTGCAAAATTGCTTGATTACACTGGATGCGGCAATCAATTTTTCTCTTAAATAAGCATGTGATTGGAAGGAAGACATTTCTTCATACTGCCTTCACAATAACCATCAAATGGCATGGGGGGGAGGTGCGGAAAAACAGCAGAAATAATAAACAAGACTAATAGTGGCTGAGTAGCCTTGTTTTTTTTCACAAAATGAGACTGATCCCATGTGGGTCTAAGAGCACTTTGGAGGTTGTTTAGTGAGAAGGAAAAATTTAGCAGCTGCTTAATATCCCTGAGCACTGAGATACTCTCAAAACTAGAAGTGTCTGAGTTCAGGGTGGAAAAAAATCCTTGTCTTGCAGTTATTGCTCATGTAGCGGTGGGGTACTGACCTGAGTGGTGAACGTGTGTCCAGCCTCTGTGTGCTCTCTCACCTTCTCAAGTCATGGTGCTTTTGAAGTTGTGATCACAAAATACGAAGGGTGAAAAAAAAAATATCTTGATGGTAGGTGGGTTTGCTATCAGAGAAATGCCTCCCGCTTGGAATTTTAATTGAGATTCAGTTGGAGTGGGACCAGAGGACCAAAAATGGTGCAGCTCAGCAAGAAAAGGACAGGAACACTGGTTGTCAGTATGTCAGAGCTTTCTGCTATTTTTCAGAGGAATACTGTTTGGAGTCTTAGGGGAGCTGATCTACAAGGATATTGTCCCTTAAAGCGAGGTGAGACCAGGTTCTCTTCGATTTAATCCACCAGGATCAGTGACGTGACTTAAAATAAAAAAGTTATTTCAAACCCACCGTTACAGAGAATAAGGACATCTACGTTATAGAGAAAACACATTGCGTAGAAAAGGGCATCTAACGAGAACAGCTGACTGTGGCAGTGCTGCTGGTGGGTGATGGCTGGTGCCCGCAAAGTGAGGTGCTCCAGGGTCTGCTCCGAGGCAGAGGCAGCCTGGTCCCTGCGAGGCACCAGCCGCCGTGCTCCGCACAGAAGCAAACAGATTTGCACAAAGATGACAGTTGCCATTCTTCATTCTGCTGAGCCCCGCCAGGCAGCAGTTGAGCAGAAAAGGGCTGTAACATCTTATACCACTTTGGGCACGTGGATATGTTGCTCCTCTAGAAGGATGCCCTTAAATCAAAGCAAGGCGTTCCCGCGGAAGAGCTGGCTGCTGCCCGCACAGCAGGAGCTTTCAGGGTCATGAAGGTTCAACCCGATTCCTCCAGCTGAGCCGGTGACACTTCAGAGTGAGTGGCTTGAGGGCTTTTCAGTGATAATAACCTTTTTACCCGGTCAGGGGCTGAGGAAAGCATTTATGTCAGTCTGCAGCGGGGTGATGTGCACAGGCACTGGTGACACCCCAGCTGCAGGGGCTCCTCACTGCCTTGGGCAGTAAGGATTTAAGGATTCCTGAAGATCAGCCCCTTGTTTGGCACAGGATGACACTCCGGGGTGCCATTTATTTATGTTCGTGGCACTTCCTAAATATCATCTTCCCTGGGTTTATTTTTAACTTTATTGTCACAGGATAGATGAATTTATTTTATCTTTAGAAAAATGTAGAGCCAGCTAAATATGGGTGGGGATTATGAAGCTGAGTGTGGCAGTCTGTGACTGAAGCCCTATAATCTGGAAGGTAACATGCTGGAGAGCAGCCTTGACAGCAGGGTTTAGAAAAACTGCCAGCTATTACAAAGGGTAATGACTACAGGAGCTCCTCAAGTGCAGAGCTGAGTATATGCAGACAGCCTGTCTTCGACTGCACCTTATTTTTCCCCTTAGGAGCTCAGTCCTTTAAAAAGATCAAGGCAAACGTACATGGTCCAGTAACGCAGTCTTATCTTTTAGGTGATACCTGTACCATGGCAGACTACAACCGGCTCAAAAACATCCTCCTGGACCTGCAGGCTCATCGGCAGAGCCCACCAAGCAGCCTGGCCGAGGACAGTGTGTCCCAGAAGCGCTTCTTGGTTGAAGATATGTTTAAGCACTTGGATGTAAACAGTGATGGGCATCTCAGCAGCTCTGAACTGGCTCAGGTGGGTTTATTGTTCAATGAAAATGGAATTATGAAGTGGATTGCATTTTTCATTCAAAGTGTGAATTGAATGTAACACAGCAGCACTCTTGTGAGAACGGTCGTTTGTAACTGTCCGGCTGGCAGCAGGAAAAAGAGGAAAATCTACTGCAGCGTGCGAGTCTCTCCCTGCATCTCTGGGGAGATGGTGTTGTCTCAAATATTTGAAGCTCCTCTACAAATGAAAAACATGGCAGATTTCCAGCCCCATCCATGCTTCTGAAAATAGATACTAATCCTCACTGCTAACCATCATCTTCTGAAATATTTCCAGCTAGATGGCTTGGGGAGAATTAATTTGGATTTTTTAGGTGCATAGAAGTTAGGCAGAAATCTCTTAATTCTTCCTTCTTGCCTTTGGACATTGTATTAGCATGTAGTAAGATGACAGCCAAGTTGGAATATTTTTTAACAGGTTTATTTTCCCAGAATCCCTAGGCAGATGCTGAAATGTTGATTAGCAGAGCTTAATATTGATAGAAAATGTGAGAGCTTGAAAAAAACTGTTATTTCTAATTACGGGCATGCTGTGCTGTTGGAATTCATCTAATTGGTAAAGTGAACCTAACATGCTGCCCAGGCACTCAAGCCAATTACTCTGTGTCCTGAACTTGCTCTTTGCACATGCAGATCTGAGAAAACAGTGCTGTAAATATGAGAAAATGCATTATGCCAGGTGTGGGAAGATCTTTTCTCTTCTGTTTCATTGCATCATCCATGAGAAGAATTAGAAGCGAGCACCTCTGAAGAGTCTTTTGGAAGCTGATTCCTGCCTGGGACCTGTCCGGGTTTCCGAAGCTGGCCCTTCACCCTTTGCTGCCCGGGGCTGTCTCCTCTGTGCTCGTGCTTCCCAGTGAACGTGAAGCGTGTTGCAGCTCCAGCGTGTAAATGCAAGCTGTGAGCAAGCAGGAGGACAGACGCACGCTCATTTCCTCCCTGAGCTCGCTCCTGTGTAGGACAGTTTGCACTGAATTTTAATCCTCAGGCTGTTGACATGATGCACGATCCTTTTTGCACAATGCAAAGTGTCAGCGTAAATTCCCTTAGATCTCAGAGCTATGAATATATACAATACTTCATTTAAATGCAATGATTTTTTTATAAAGACATGGTAGGTATAAGAAAACACTTTTATCTGAATTCAAAGACAGCTTTTGCATAGTAACATCTAAGTGTCTGTTCTACTCTCCAATTTTTTCCCCCTTTTTACATGAAACTTATTCTGTCAGGATATTAAAACTCAACTTGCATGGAAATAAAGGTTTGGCAGCCTGCAAGCCATTACCATGAGGAAGAAACAGTGACCTGCATTTTAAAGGAGCAGGATTCAGTTCCTTAAGGTTTGCTGCAAAGATACTGTGGGCTTCATTTGCAGATGTGCTCGGAGCCCAGATCTCTCTCACAAGAGCCAGCATAAACCTTGGCTTCTATTATTTTAACTCTTCTCTTCTCACTGTTATCAAAATGGGTAAATGTGCTTGCACATCTGGAGCACGCTTCACTTTGATGGACCAGAATAAGTTCAGCCCTCAGCTAGGATCCCTCTCACCCAAAAATCCTTCACAAAGGCTTGCCACCAGCATTGCTGAGTTGAAAGCATGGTCACCTCTCAAAGGACAAAATAATGCCGGTTAATGCAGAATATAGATAAGCCATGAATGCTTTTAATCCTGAGCTGAGTGGCACTGATCTTGGGCCCCTCGGTGGGAGTGTGGCTGAAGTCTCAACCAAGCTGAGGACGCATCTGCAGGGCAGCTCTGGGGCTCTCACAGTATTCCCAGCTTATGTATGGCATGTCAGTTCTTTATTTTTATTTATACACTTATATTTATAAATATATATTTATATATTAGTCCTGACAAGAAGAATATTTGCAAGTGCTCTTATGTGACCAGTTTATTCACCCAGTTTTCAAGGAAATTTTTTTTATTTTAGGTAAAGAGTAATTTTTAATTTTTCATGTTTTAGTTTTAACAGAACTTTTCTTGCCTTGTAAGCTAAATGTGTGATTGATTTGCACTGGCTCTTTAATTTGAAGCTCTCTGCCACTTTAAAATTCCCCCAAAGATGAGGATTTCATTGCCCATGGGTAGAGCCAGCTGAAATGAATGTGGTGCAGTGGGATCTCCTTCTCTCTGGCTGCTGGATGAGCTGCTGCTGCGCATTTTCTTTGTTTTATTTAAAAGAAAAATAGTCTCTCGAGCACTATAACCTTGTCTGCAAGGAAAAACTCGAGTCAGGTAATGTGCACTGCTGCAGAAAAAAGTCATTTTTAAGACCTGAAGGGGGATCTCTGTGAGGCTCATTGCAGAGGGATTCATCCCAAAGAGAAACTGGAAGCAGCGTCCCGCCGGAGAGGACAGTCCTGCGTCGGGGCAGCACGCAGCACCAGGAGATGGTGAGGATCTTTGCCCACTTGTTTGTTGTCCATGACGGAATTGCTTTGGGCAAAAAAGTGGCAGCTGATGGTCCGTCCCCCTCTTTTTAGAGCTGCTTTGCCTCCTGGCAGACCCTATCGAATGGTTTCCCTCCAGACCCAGCAGTATGAAATGCCCCTGTAGTTTTGCAGCCATGGGTATGCAGGGCTATTAACAGTGGAGGTAATTGGAATGTTTTTTCCACTTTAAACTTGAATATATTTTAAAGTCAGATTCATAAATCTACTGAATTTGTTGCAGCTGAAGTGTTTTGTGATTTTTTTTTTCCCTCTTGTTAAATCAAAAGGACTAGTAAAAACTTGTCAGTCTTATGAAAAGTTAATCAATTTTCAATACAAAGATAGACAAAGGGAAATTTCCATCTTTAGAAGATTGATCTTGGAAGTTATGGTTGATCTCACTTTTATTGAACATTTTTACTTACTAGGTGAAGGGTCATTTTTTTAGCATTATTACTTCAAATTGCTTCAATATAATGGGCCAAGACTAGAGTAGTAAATAAAAGAGTCCCTGGGCTACAACAAAAAGCCTTCCTGCCTGGAAGATGCAACATTTCAGCATTTTTCTTCATGTTCTACAATAAATTCAGAGAACCCAACATTTTCATTATGCTTAGATCTGATTTTGGCTATTTCTAGCTTGGATGTACAACTTCTAAAACTGACTTAATTTTTAATGTGGAATGTGTGAAATGTTTAGAATACATAAGAATCAAACTGTCAAGGGCTGGAAAAACACATCAGTGTTAAATGTACTATCTACTCTTGCCCATTCTAGTCCCAAAAGCAAGGAATACAATTTTGTCGTTACCTACAGAGGAGAGAGGAAAACCACACTTCCCTTTTTCCCTGTTGAATATTAATTTTTCAATACATTTGCAAAGTGAAAATGTGTTTCTGTGCTGCTGCTGAAGGAAGAGGCTCCTCAGCCTCACCAGTCCATGACTCATGAAGTGCTGCAGGAATGTGAGTATCAGTTGTATCTTGATGCAAAGGAAATACGTAACAATAGATACGATACATATACATATTTCTCCCCAAAGATCATTTAATGGAAAATCTTCTGGGTAAGCCAGGACAGCAATCTGTAGATTTACATTATGTGTAAGATTACCTGTTCTCTTTGCTACAGCTAATGAAGAAGGAGGACCTAGAAGATGATTTATTGGATTGTACACTGGAAGACCTTCTCCGGTTTGATGATTACAACAATGACGGCCGCTTAACCCTGCAGGAGCTCTATACAGCCTTCCGTGAGTCCCGATGCTTTTGTCTGTCCTGGGTGTTGAAAGCATGTGGTTATCGATGATGGCAATGTTGTCTTCCCAGACGTGGTCAGCAAAGATAATCCCTTTTTGTATTTAATGCCATGAAAATAATTTGGAAGGATTGTTTCTAAAGGCTACTGTGCTCCAAAGGATAAGATGAACTAGGAGGTTGGTAAAAGCCTGTGGGGCTTATTGTTTTCTTGTGTATTTTGTTGTGCTTCTTGTTGATAGCAATGGAGAAATATGGGAGAACTGGCCAGATCTGGAGACCTGAGTATGTGGTTTCTGAGTAACCTTGAGGAAACACAGTTGAAACCTGTCTAAATGTCTTGTGGTAGTGTGAATTAGTTTGCTGTGAGGAAGGTGTTTTACTGACTATTCTGCCTGGAAATGACATTTTCTGCATTTTGTTAGTAAGTGGATTACAGTGTGCAATCTCGATCCGTATTTCAGCATCATTTGCAAAGATCCCTAGATCACTGAGCTACTTAAACAATGTGAAAAAATAAGTACTTGTGTTTTCCAATTTATCTTCATACCTTTATGCTCATGCTTTAAGTTAAGCATTCAGTGAATTCCATTCCTGGAAAAGGCCCTCATGGTCTCCTTCACTGGATGATAGAAAGTTTTATTGATGCCTGTCCCTTTGGGATACTGAAAAAGACAGGCAGACAGAAAATGTGGGGGTTTATTAAGTCATCAGGATAGTGAGCTACAGAGTACTTTTATGTGGTTAATACTTTCATAACAAAAGCAGGATTCAACCATTGAACTGTTGAGTGCAAGCAAAAGGCTGATAACAAGCTGGTTACCTCTTAAGCTGGATTCTACAATATTTGCATATGGTATTTTATAGACAAAGGAATTTCAATAGCTCTTGATTTCATTTTTTAAACCAGGGCATCCTGATTTAAATCAGTGCCTGCTTGATGGGAAAAACTTGGTGGGCGCGAGAGTCACCATGTGCCTGCACCAGCACATTCTTCATAGGTGCTCTTTGGCAAGCCACAATGCTAATTCAAATCCTCTATTTTTGCCAAATATCCTCTTTTCTAAAGAGAGGGGTTTCTGTTTTCTTGACTTCTGACTTTTTGTTAAAGAAAACAACTTTGGATAATAATGTTTAAAGTGCTTTAAAATTAGCCCCAGTTCTCACCTTGGACCTGTTTGAACCGCATATGCGTTTAATTCAACACAGCACACTCAAACTAGCAGATATACAGTAAAACATAAAGCCTCATACATTAAGAAGGACATAAAGTGAATTAACCCAGCTATAAAGGCTTGACATGCAGTTATTTGGGAGCATATTTGGATCAATGGGTTCTCAAAGTCACAGCAACTCGAAGCTAAATTCCAAGAGTCATTTGTATGAGTTTTTGGTTCAGTGAATTTTAAGTAGGCAATGAAAATAAGACAAGTACAAAATATTACCCAATGAATAGAGATAGTAATCGATAAGCTGCAAAAATATTGTAACAAAACCCAAGGTGTAATAATGAGCGTCTAGCAAAAGGATTTTGTATATGAAGAGAATTGTTCTTCATCTGAAGCCGAAAATCAGACTGACTTCTCCTTTTTCAATTTTCCCAGAATCTCCACTTGTATCAAGAGCAGTTAATAGCTCATCAGATTTAAATTTATAAACAAAGTCCATTGCTTGCAACTTTCAAACTTTTGGGGACTCTATAAGCGAAATTTAGTGCTTGGTGAAAGTATAGCATTTCCCTTTCCTTTGTTACACAATGTAGGAAAAGATCTCAAAAATACTTCAAACACTTGTCATAAGTGCACACTTTGGTTTACAGTCTGTAAGTGTTCATGAAATTTCTCCTTTGTTATGAGCCAGCATTTGACTTGCAATAGTAGTTTAAAGGTACAACATCCTGCACATATTTTGTATTTTTGGCCCATTAAGGTGATCTTTTTGTTGCTTGAAATTCACCCAAGCCACTCATTTTTGCATGCTGGCAGTAGGCTGCGAGGGTGGCTGCTCAGCAAGGTGAGGAACATAATTACCAGAATTCAGTGGCATCAGAAAGTCTCAATCTAATTTATCCTCTCAAAAACTCTGTTACATCTGTTTCGGTGCACCATGCTCTGATATGGTGTCGCAGTGTTGGAAAGGTTTGAAGATGACCTTGATAATGTGAAGAGCTTTCCAATTTGTCATTCTTGTGCTGCTTTAGAAGTTGCATTTCATTTTAAAGAGTCGCATGCCCTTTCTGTAACTTAGAGCCACAAAATGGTCTCTTTCTCTCACTCCATGCGTGTCTCTTGCTTTCTGTTGACCCATCGTCTCTCTCCAAGACCCACAGACATTCAGGGGCATTTTTGATCCTTATCTGTGTTGATCAGCTGAAAATGAATGGAAAGTGCACATATGAGAAAAATCCAGTCTCTTACCTTTTCTGAAACATGATTTTACCCTTACAAGCACATCATCTAACAGGTGCTATTTTTAATAATAATTTCTAATTATGCTGATCATTTGCGTATACATCTTAATGCACAGTTTGGGGTTATTAACAGAAATAGTGGCCCTCCTACTAACCCTATCATCTTTCTTCTGATTTTCTGAAAGTTCTTTTGTTCCAGAATCCCAAGAATACAACTTTTAGAAGTTTGCTTGCATGTATGAGGATAACTGGAAATATCTGTTAACACAGGATTAAAGTATCACTTTTCCAATCACTTTAATTGCACATAAGGAACGTATGAGATGGATGAAATGCTATCCTGGCAGCTCTGCCAAGAACAACTTGTAGGTGTCTTCTAATTTCTCATTAATAAATTTTATTAGATAAGCAGGCACAGGACCATAATTAAAAAAAAAGAAAAAAAATATATATATGATCTCAGTATTTTCAAATTCCAAAAATAGAGAAGAATACTAGCAAGTACATTTGTCTGTTGTCTTCTCTTTATATTGTCACGAAGATTCAATAAATGAGTAATAAATGAAAAGCTTACTTGTCATAAGAACTAAAGTAGAGCATGCATGTAATTAATCGACAGAGAGATAGTCTGGTGAATTGGCAAGCACATCACCCATCTGAGTCATTCTTTAAATATGCTCAGATGAGTGATTTTTGGATATAACTTCTGGAACTGTATCTGACTGGAGGTCATTAGAATTAGGCATGTCACTTTTGGCATTCTTCTTGTCTCTCCTAATGGGAAGGTAGCAGGTTGACAGATGTGAAAGCCTAGCTGAAGAAAAAAAAATCAGCATAATCTTCAAGATCTAGATTATCATCAATGTGGACAGGTCAATTTGTAATACAAATATGTCAAAGAGAGGGAAAACATGCATCCTATCAAAATGGCTTTATCTTGTCAGCATTGTTTAGCTAATAAGAAGTTATTAACCCTATGATAGAACCTCCTTAAATTCTCGCTCGTTGCCAATTACAGTGATCTCCTAAGATCCTCTTCTCACAGCTTGCTTTTGCATTTCATTCCATTTTTGAAAGCACAGAAAAGGCCTTTTGCAAGCATCTTTGCTACCCCACAGCAGCTCTTCCCAGTAGGTCACACTGGGTTTGGAACGATTTTTGACTGAAGTTTCATAAAAGACCAGGAGTATTTCACTAGGTCAGGTTAGAAATCATACCCCAAGATAATTTCCCCATCTTGATGCCATCAGGGCTTACTGAGGTCACCTTGTGTGCCCTGTGCTTCCCAGTGTGGCTCTTGAAGGCTTCTGTATCACACAGTTTCTAGTGCCTCTGCAGTGACATTTTGATGTCATATCTGGACCAAAAAAAAAACCAAAATGCAAACCTCACAAAGGCAGTTTGAAAGAAAAATACTGAATTGCTATTTTTCAGTCCAGTTGTTATTTCCCAAGAATTTGTGCACAAATGTTACATGTAGAGAGAAAACTGCTGTTTCTCTAAGATGAGAGGTATGTTATTGTCTATGGATATATTATCTAAAGAACACAGATATTGTTTAGAAAGGAGCGTATTTCATGCAGGAATGAATGCAGAAGAGGCTGCAGGATCAATGTGCTCTTCTCCTAAACTTCCTCTTATAATATCATTATGCTCTTTAAAATGAGTTTGCTTTCTTCCCTGATTCTGTTTTAGTTCAGACCTTCCTTTTTCACCTGTCCTTAATATTTATCAGAAAAATTACAATGGAGAAATATGAAAATGGGATATATACGCTTGCACCAGGAGGTCAGGGAAATGCAGGATAACAGCCGGGGAGGGCGGATGGTACTAGCCCCCAGCGTGGACTCATGTCCTGGGGCTTTGCCAGCACTGCAGTTGGGGATGGGGAAACCGGAGAGAAGGGTGAATTTGAATGAACTGGGTGGAAAAATGAATAGGGAGACTGGGCTGGGCATGGGTGTTGGATAAATCACTGCCAATGCAGAGAAGCAGCAGTGAACGGCATTGGACTGGCTCCAGATTTACTGCAGTGATCTTAAAATCTCCGGGAGCTCTATTCCCCACCAGGCAACGCAACCGCGTGGTGTAGAGGAGTAAGCCATCCATCCCCAACCTCTCCCAGCATCCTCCGGAGGCTCATTGGAAGTGCAGAGTATAAAATGGATTTATTTTTGAGGTGTGCATATTTCTGATTCACTGAAAACTACTTCAGGGCAGAGCTTTGTAATTGTCCCAAAAGGGTCGAGATTGATGCTTGCTGGGGAAAAGCAAACCTCTACGTTGAGGAAGAGGGAACAAAACCTAAAAAGGGGCTGTTGGGTCAAGTGGAAGAGGGAGTTGTTGAGTTAGGAAGGAAGCTTTCAGAAGTGTATCTATTCTTGATAGACATCTCATTTTAAGGAAGGTGAGAAATAAATACTACGTGAGGAAAATGAATATATTTGAATGTATTTTGAAAAATATGGCCATAATACATGTACTCCATGTACACCCAGTGAGGCAGCTGCTTCAGCAGAAATTTCATCTGTAAATTCCATGTTTAGGTGAAGTGTTTATTCACATCTTTACAAAGCTGTTCTCCTT